ATATATGTGTGTATGTACGTAATAATAATTTTTGTAATATATATTATTATAATAGTTACATATATAATAGTTACATATTATATATAACTTCTCTTCCATCAATATAATATTACTTCTTCTTCAATAATTAATATCTGCCTTGAGATAAATTGTCGGAGGATAAGACATGTTCCGAAATATATCATATTTATCAATTGTTTAGATTTCCGCCTTTTCGACCATGGTCCTTGGTTAAAAAGTTCACGTAAACAATTTTTACATTTTCACAGTTGGGAAAGTTATATAATTCCTCGAAATCATAGATGATCATAGAGTTCACGAAACTTTTCATTTTTCACGTTTCCGCCCTAGGGGAAAAGTTACATGATTAGACGTATATCTTAAAACAATTGATTCGCGGACGATTTTTCCGTGCAGTAGAAATTATTTTCCCTTAGATTATTTTTTTTTTAATTTACGTTATTTTGTCTAAAAAATTGTTTCAATGATTCTTCCTAAAAAGGCAATTTGTGATCAATCTTTGATTAGAAAACATCCAAATATCACAATCTTGCAATGGATTTCAATTTAGCAAAATAGCATAGAATCATCTACAAAAAGTGTTAAAGGTCATAAACTAAATGTTCTTAAAAAATATTTCTTAAATACATTGTAAAAGAAAAAGAAAAATTTAGAAAATGTCTGATTTATGAGCGTGAATAAAAGTGCAAAAAGTTTTATTAAAATAAAAGACAGTTACGGGATTAAAAAAAACATCTAATGTCGTCAAAAATCTAATGTCACAAAGAAATTTTCAACAAAGTTTTTAAAAAAGATGAACAGCTAACAACTGAACAATTTATTCAACAGGCAAATAAAAATAGCTTAATAACATAGAATAACTCCGACATTTTCGTCGCACGAGGATTTTTTAAAATGTATTTAGCATTCTTATTCCTTAATAAAACTTTGTAAACATATTATTTTAAAAGTTATGTGTCATTTTACGTCTTATTTTAAAGTTAAGTAAAATTATTTGTAAAAATTTTTCATAAGTCATACATCTCATGTATGATCCAGTAAACATTGAGATCTTGTAAACATCTAAAAGATATCTCTTTAAAAATATCTTTAAGACATTTCTAAAAGATATCTAAAAGATGTTTAAAAGATGTCCAAAAAAATTTTATTAAAAATATCTTTGTAGAACTTCTAAAATGTTTATAGACATATTAAAGTTATGATCTCTCTTGAAAGATATACATATGTTTAATAGATGTCTTTCAAACGTTTTTTAATGTTTTTATAAGTAAAAGACATATATTATTAAAATGACATTCTCAATATTGTGATTGGCACGACACGCGTACATATTACAATATTTTTAAATAATTCATTTATATTTGGCGTTAAAACTTGAATACTATAGCTTGCAATATGCTAATAAATCATGCTCTCGCCTTTCTTTTTTGTCTTTATGTCCGACCAATGTGCAACGCACAGAACACCACGTAGAATTAGAGGAAAATTCGCAGAAAAATCAGAAATATAATAATTATTATTTTATCTTATTTATAATTGTAGAAATAATTATTTTTGAAAATGTTTATTTATAAATGTTTTTTTTTACAACGGTTATCTTTAACAATTATATTTAACAATTAGGATATGTATTCTTATATTAATTTTGTTATTTTTTCAAGTAATCTAAAACTTCAAATTAATTAATGCTTATTGTAAAATCTATTAAAATTGTGTAATATTATTATCGGTGGAAACAGACAAAGAAGATAATTAATTAGCCAAATTATTAGAATTGAGAAATAAATATTGTTCCACATTCATTGCTCTTTTTATTGTCGGTGCGCAGTCGACAAGCACTTCGCTGAAAGGCATCATTACTATTCGAGATGGAGTTTTGCAAATTCAATAGTCGGACGAAGAAGCGGCAGAAAACAACAAAGAAAACGAAAAATGAAATGAGGCAGTAACTAGCGATATATTTAAAAATGATACCTAGTATTTATTCTCGTAGAAACAAGAAGCAAGACAAGATCATATATAAAGATGCATTACGATGATTTTTCTTCAAAGGTTAATCTAGTAGCGTGACTCAACTCTTTTAAGATCCTCGAGCATGATTCTCTTTTTAAATGACGTATTATAGTAATCGCGGAAGAACCTGTAGCACGAGAGAAAATCCACAATACAGTAGGAATTTTAGAAAGTTCGCGCAATCGTAACTCTAGGACTAATTCATATCCAATGTTAAACAAAAAATTCAGGATAGTAGAAATTTTAGAAAGTTCGCGCGATCGTCCTAGGAATAATTCACATCCAATGCTAAACAAGAAATTCAGGAATTAAAAAAAATACATGCCACTGAAGTGTTCGTCTGAAGGACGAACACAGTTGCATTGAAACACGAATATTTGAGCAACATCAAAAAAAATTATTAGTCTTAAAACGAATATTGATAACAAGCAAGAAATTAATCGTATTGGAGCTTCAAAAAATACCATTGAAGAAAGGTAATTGATAAATATTAGTAAATAATATTATTTTAGGATTTACATAGCAGATAAACAATTTAATCATTAAAAATTAAATTTTAATCGTAAAAAATTTAATCATTTAACTATAGTCATTTATTACAATATGTATTATGTGTAGGGATTGTGAATAATACCAAAGGTAAAGATTGTACCATTGCATCGATAAAAAAAAATCAAACACATAAAAAACTGGTTGCAACATGCCGGAGATAAGATGCAATATGAGAAAAGTACAATAGAAAAATATATTACAAAAATCAAAACAAATCATTTCGTATATCCTAAGGAATAAAGATGGCAATGCGACGCATTATCTGCAAGTTTTTTCTAAAGAATTAGATTTAATTAGATATGATAGATGACTGAAAAATTCAAATATGTATCAAAGGCGCAAATCAGCTGATCAATTTTATTTTGCGAAGACGCTGCGCATTCTCTCCAGAGTCACGTAATGTCAGGATATAACGTTTGTAACGCAATGGATTACGAAAATCATATTATCAGTCACATTGATTGTGCAGAACTCTACATAATAACACGACATAGAATTTATTAATATCTCAATCTTGTACGATGCACCAGAAAAAAAATTAAAGTTAATATCAGTCAAGTTCGCATTAGATCTTCTGTTAGTACATTACAGTGCAATTTTTTATATATGGTATTTAATTGTTAAATATCGGATAATAACAGTGTGTCTTTATAATGTTCTACTCTATTCTTTTTCTCGTGAATTTCTTAATAAATGTGAAAAGTCTATTTTTATGAAGTAGCATAAAACTGTTTCCATATAATAAATGAAATTGTACATACGATTGTATAAAAAAACAACCTAATATAAATGAAACAAGTTTATAAGCTGCATTTTGAGATACGCTATAGTTTTTATGGTTCTAAAC